TTTTCCCCCCCTTGCGTTTTTTCGAATATAAATTTAACGGGGTAAAAACGGGCACCTGTCCAAAGCAGCCTCGGCCACCATATTTTAACACACAACCCCTATCACACAAAGCAATAACACCTGTCTTAGACGACCTTCTAAGTGACTCCATTACACTTTGTCATAAATTGTGCATTGGCCCCTGGCGTGGTGGGCAAGCCGTCATAATTCAATCACCTGTCGTTTTTATATAGTCCCTCCAACCGATCATGTTGCGTAGGCCCCTCCCACTGTTGACCAATAGCTACCAATTTTCAGCTGCTGGTGAGGTAAGCATGTGATCCCCCATAACCCATAAGCCCCCCCCCCCCCCGAACATACACAAATCGTAAGTGAGATGGGTGGTCACTGTTTACCCAGTCTGTAACAAAGTAACAAGGACGTCAACATGAACTTGCGACAGAAGCGTCGCTCGTTCTCCGAGTGGTGGCGAGCCAAGTGTTTGTTTTAACATTGCACTCGGTCTTTCTCGTCTGATACATTTAGTTTTTTTAGTTACCCTTGTGCTAAATCAGCAAAAAAATAAAAATTACAAACAAAATACAAACCAACAACAACAACAACAACAACAAAAACAACAACAATGCGGCTACTTTCGATTGGGACCTCAGATGGGAATGGTTTGTTTTTTTCATCTTGATCAGTCCTGCCTAAGACGGCCACCTGTCTTATACAGCCACTTGTCTTATACGGCCACTTTTCTCCTTGACAATGGGTGGCCGTCTTACACAGGGTTGACTGTATACTATATATATATATACTTATATATATATATATATATATATATATATATATATATAAATATTTATATATATATATTTACTTATATATAAAAAAAATATCAGCAGCTATGCCTCCCCTGAAGAATGTGCCGTGCTCCAAAAACCCTGGCCACCCAAGATTCCTACCTGTGCGTCGGCTTACAGCTGACAGTCTTCCTAGAGACTTTCGTAGCCCCCATCTGGCAGATATCATTCGACTCAAGGGAGAGGAAACAGTCCGACTGACCGTGACCTGGACAAGCCCAGACCGACCTCAGGGGTTTGGTTACGAGGAACTAAAAGTAAGTTATGAGAGTGAACTTAAGGTAGATCTCAGTGTTATACTTCTATTTACCCAGGTTAGGCTGTTTATGATGTGGGGACTTTTAACACTTTCCCCCACGGGACGCCGATCGGCGCCGGTGTTATATAGCATGTGCCGCACCTGTATCCTGGTCCGTGGGGATAAGTGTGGCCCGCTCTGCGTGCTGCGTGGATGGAAAGTGTTAAATTAACAAGGTCTTTTAAAATGGGTTAGAAAACTTAATTCATTTCTTTGAATTTTTACATTTTTTATTCAGTTCCTTTGTCTGTGTGCTTTTTGGTATCGATTTTTGTTTTTGTTGTTTATATTGAGCAAGGGGGGATTCATCTGGGATGGTAGTAGGGGTTATAAGTGCCTGGGATGGAGGCATGCAATTGACATAGTCTACACATATAACATAATGTCTGGTGGAGTGATATTGTGAAGGCATACACTAACATTCCTTGTGTGTGCAGAGCTGTTAAAGTACTTTTAAAAAGGTACTTAAGTACAAATTTAAGTACAATCTAAAATATGTACTTAAGTACAGTAAAAGTACTTTCCTGTAAAATGTACTTGAGTACAAGTACTTTTAAAAAAAGTACTTATGAGTACATTTTGAGTACTTTCTGCTAATATGCTAAAACACTTCAGTGCTAATGCAAAACATCATATTGAATAACATATATAGCATATTTAACAAATTAGGCCATTTATTACTAATAATGTAAGCAGTACACAAAGCATTTGAATATACCTACTGAACGTAGGTGGAAATGGTCCGTGAAATTGAAAAAAACCCCAGCAAACAGACGCAACTAGTGAGTAAGTGATTTTATGAATAGAACTTGTTTGAGCAAGACAATATGATCAAATGTAAGTCTGTCGTTGAGGTGGGGAAGTAGGAAAAGTATCCAAATTGGAAAATGTAGAGACAAAGTTGGTCTTAAGGAAATATTAAAAAATTGATGATGAAAATGGCCAGCAAAAAAAAAAGGAAATGTGCATTGAATTCTTCATTAACAAATCCTCAAGGAATCAAGGTAGCCTTAAGCACAACCACCCCCCCCCCCCCCCAAAAAAAAATAAATAAATAAATAAATAAAATGATAAAAAGAAATTTAGGTAGCCTAAAAATTGTTAGATTGATATACATTGAAAACTCAGTTTCAGTTCAATTGATTATAATAGTGGTAAGACAGATTTTGGTCACACTGTGTAGTCCACGGCGCCCATGGTAAACCAAAATAGGCCTACATGTAATATCCTAGAGTCTAGTAAGTGTAGTGTAACCAAAAATTCTCTACTACAGTAGTCTCCGCCTGAGATCCAGTGCTCGGGAGCAAGGGAAATGCGGGATCTTGGCCGATGAAGCCAAGGAAGAAACTGCAGTGAAAGGTGGCATGAGGCATGCCATAATATTATACTGTATTAGCATCTCAAGATCTTTATCTACGTTTATCCACTTGCCCCTTCCCTTTACCTGTCCTAAAATTTTAGCCTTCCATTTCTGATTGAGTCCCCCCCCCCCCC